CTGGTAATGATATTACTAGCGTAAGGCAGGTAGAAGAAGCAATCAAACGCCGGGCCGTGAAGTCACCGGGCCGTGGCCTACTTGCAACCTTGACGAAAACTTGCACTCGTGACTCGTCGGCTGTCGACTCTTTCAACACAAAGGCGCTGGGTCGCAAACTCACCCTCTCCATAGAAGACACCCGTGCACGCTCGTTCTGCGCGTCGTGTCCTGCGTGCAGCCTGCCCTTGTCCGCTCGCAGAGCTCTGTAAATCGCAATGCATCGCGCCCCGTCTCGCCCGCCGCCGATGCCGCCTGCGTCGCTCCTCGTCCTCCTCTCATCCCCGTTGCCGACTAACTGTCTCCGTGACTTCACAGCGCCCAGCGCGCCGCCCTCCATCCCGGAGCACGGCTCGCCCGCCTCACCCTTCCGACGCTCGCAACTCCCGTCGTCCCCCCCACGCCGCCTCCGCACCGCTCACCGCTGCCTGTCCGTCCGTCACGGCGGCGAGCAGCGCGCACGACCGACGCCAAGGCTCCTACTCGGGCCATGCTTGCAACGCCTCGCAGACGCCGCAACGGACGCGCTGCTCCACCTCCGAGTCAGCAGCGTAGCATGCGCCCCTCGGCGTGCTCGAAGACGGCGGTCCGCCGCATCGCTCGCGAATCCCGTACCTCCCGCGCTGAGTCGCGCTCGTCGGCTGCAGCGCTCGCTGTGCTCCTGGCACAGAACCGCGGACTCACGATTTGCACGGCCGAGTCGGCCCTCGCGTTCTTGCGGCGCTTTCTCAAGGGCTGCCTACTCGCCGCAGACCCGCGAGTCGGCACAGGGCCGATTCCGTGCACGCGTCCTTGCGCCGGCGAACCCCGGGCAAGCACTCCCGCTCGCCCTCGACGCGCGGCATCCCAGCGCCGGCGACCCCACAGCCCGCCTCCCTGCCCGCGCCGCGCACGTACGCCAACTAAGTAAGTTACTCACTAACTTATCTACTTACCTCTTTACCTGCTTGCCCACAGACTACCTGTACCCTGTACCCGCCTCCCACAATGCACCTCCTTCCCCGAGATCCCGCCCTCGCGACCCCGCGCGCCTAATACCCCCAAGTCGCTGCGCCGATAAGCCCCGGCGCCTCTCGCGCAAGTCCCAAAACCACGCCCCGGACCCGGTGTGCATCTCAAAGTCAGCGCAGCGCCCGAGCGCGTCCGGCGTGCACCGTGACGCACCCCTGCGCCTCGTCTCGCGCTGCGGTCCAAAACAGATGGTGCTGCGCTGCGAACTGGGTGCCGCGCGTCCCCTGCGGACCACCGACCCGAACGCAGCGCCCCGGCTTGCGTCTAGATGCGAGCCGCCGCCGCGCAATGCAGCGCTCGACGCCGGCGCGACGAGCGTAGCGGCGCGAACGCGCCCGCGCTGTCGGTGCGATTGTAGGGGCTCGGCGGGTCCGCGAATCGATGCGCAGGCAGCGCTCGACACTGCGAGCGACGCCGGCGCGATCCACGCCCGTCTCGCGCGCGGAGTCGGACTCGGGACTCGGGCGACCCCGACCCGTCCGTGGCGACGGGGGCTCGATGGAAGAAAACAATACCAAACAGACGCCCACCGTGGCCCACAACCATGACAATACTGTAACTCAACAAGAATGATCCTGGCGTATTCCTTTCACTCAGAGCCACAATTTGGATGCACACGCTGCATTTTTTGGGTCGTTCGAGCTTGGGCGAAAAATGGTCGATGCGATTTACAGCCCGAGCGCTGCGTGCGCGTTTCGCCGCGTTTTTTTCGCGGATCCAGTACGGACTCACATGGAGCAAAGGTTAGGCACAATACTCAAATGAACTCGACGACCCCGTTTCTCCGAATATCTTCCCAATCTTTGGTCCCTCTCACTTGACCCATCCACACGGCGTCCTCATCCTCCATGAGTACCACGCCGAACCCCCGATACGGAATATTCATGCGCGACGACGTGACCCCGGTACAGAACACCACACGCGCCTTTGCGTTCGCCTCGACGGCCGCTCCGGAAAAATCAAGCGCCCCGTAATGCGCTGCGCGCCAGCTTGTCTGCACAAAGAACTCGGCATGCGGTGGGCAGGGGAAGAGCACCTTGAGCGGGTGTGCACAGCGCCAGTGCATGTCCGCAGCCATCCGGGCGGGGTCCGCGGTGTAGTCGTTGATGGCGCGCCGCAGGCGGAGCGCCAGCGCGCCGAGGGACTCCGTGCGGAGGGCGTGCGCCGGGATCGGGGGAACGGCGACGTCAAGGACGGCGTAGTGGAGGTACGGGATGGGGAGGACCTCGGCGTTCGGGAAGACGGGCTTTCCGCGCAGATTGACAGGCATGTGGATGTGGATCGGGGTAGTGTCGGTGAGCTTGCGGTGGCCGTACGCCGTCTACGGCAGGATGGTCAGTCGGCCGGGACTTATAGAGGGTTTGCGCGAACCTTGAACCACCATGCCAAAAGCACGTCGGAGCTCCCCACCCACTCGCTGGACCCTTGGAGCTCTAGCTGACGCATCATGTCGCGCTTCGCATCGGCTAAGAAAGTCTTGGGCACGCGGATGATATATGCGGCCTCCTTGGGGTCTGGCAGGACTCGAATTACGAGGCGCACGATAAAAAGAAAACGGCTGAACCAGCCCAGGTCATACCATCCGCGCGGCTGTGCCGCGGCAGTCGGTCCTCTGAAGGCAGCAAACGGTGCCGCGTCCCGTGCCATGCCCGGGATGGAGTCGAGTGCGTCGCCATTGAGTAAACGCGTCCAGGCGTGAAGCAGGGTTTGCGTCCCGAGCACGTCGGCGCAGACATGCGACGCCGTCACACCGATGAATGTGAGATCATCAAAGACGGCAACGTGGACATGTAACGAGGGCATGTTGGGGACGAGAAAGGCCTCGAGGGTCGCGGGGCAGTCTTTGCTTCTGAGATAGACCTCCAATCTGGGTTCTGGGCAGACGAATGGTTGTGTGGCGTCAAAGGAGTCGGGGAGGTGAATTGGGAGCTCGGGACGAGTCGCACACCGGTATGGCTCAGCATAGTCCTCCACAGTAAACACCACGGGCGGCGTTTCCGCATCGAACATCTTCGGGACTTGGAACTCGTACACCTAAAAAAAGGGCTCGAGTGGGGCTCAGAGGGGGGGAGAGGGGGAAGAGCCGCACCCCATTCCTGAGCGCAAGTCGCGCTCCTGCTCTGGGAAGCCTATGTACAATCAGTGTTGAAAGAGTCTCTTCTAGTTTCTTTGCATCCAATCGCGCGTCGACGATGAAGCCACTAGTGAGCACGACATCGAGTGGAATGAGGTCCAGGCCTGTACATGGAACGGTGTCCACCCCGGATGGCGGGGCCACCAGTTTGCGGGGTGAAAAGGGCCACAGAATGCGCTGAAGAAAAGACATTGATTGGCCAGCGATCCGCTTTCCGAAAATATATCACCTAAGGGCTTCTACGGGCTCACGTAAGGGCCTGAGAGGCCTAGTGGGGTTTGATAGTACTATCAAAACCCTCCCTCTCAGGCTCTCTCAGGCCGTCGAAGGCGACGGAGTCGGAAGGCCTTTCCACTTTGGGAAAGGGCGTTCGTCGCCGGCAGATCCCGACCACCGTTTGTCGCCGCCGCTTCTTGCAGTCCGCGTAGTGATTCGACGGCTTGGCTTGGACCGGAAACCATGGCTTGGGCTTGGCTTCATCTGCGTTAGGCTTGAGAATTTTGAAGCAAAGCCCAAGCCAGGAAGCCGGGCCTGGCCTGGCTTGCTTGAACCCCGAAGATCTGATGCTCGTGTTGAAAATTCACCTACTTATATCAATATGTTTTCCATGCCGGTACCCGGCTGCAGGATGGGGGAAGCTTCTTTGAAATGGTATTGAAGTGAGTCCGGCTTTTTCAGAGTTTTTTACGCCCGTTTTTTTTGACCATCGGCATTCTCCGTTGCCGACCCGTCAAAATCCGGCATCCTGATTTCGGCTTCCTTCGTGTCAATTAGGGCTGGCTATAAAGTTCCTATAGTATGTGATTATGTTCCGTTGATTCTCAGCTAGATTGGGGCCCTGCAACGCGTCTAAACCCTCGCGACGGCAGCGGGGAATCTTGAGATTACATCATCACTGCCACCGCCAACCGATCACCTCAATGGGTACGTACTGTTTTCAACTTCAAGAGACATCCGGGATATTGCTCACTTGGGGTTCTTGGTGGCTCCTGTTGGCACGTACTGGTCTCCATTGTGTTTCACAGGCATCCAGACTCGATTTCAGTCATCTTGCAGTGGTTTGGATGATTATCGCTGGCTTCTGCTGGGTGGAACACACTGGAAACCAGTGGTCCTGGACCCCTGGTTGGTCTCCGGTAGAGTTCTATATCTGCCACTTACTCTGGCAGCTCGTATGAGATGCAGATCCAGTGGGAGCCAATGGTAATCAGTGGATCCCAATTGTTTCCGATGGTTTTCCCTCGATCTGGATTCTGGCCGGTCCGACTAGACAAAAAATTGAACCTACAATAGAACTTACATAAGAGCTTCCATCGGCTTCCAAGACGATTCAGTGCCATGAAGCCTAGTGTAATCCAGTGGAAACCTGTTGAAAAAAAAGGATTCTCATTCACTGTGGGTGGCCAATGAAAGCTAGTGAGCTCCACGGGGTATTGTTGACTGGATGCCGGCAGATGCCGGTGGGAGCCCGCGGCCCGCACCGGCATGTGCACTGAGCACTCCGCAAGGCCTCACCCAAACTCTCCATATGTCGGTGGGACTAAATTGCGGTATTCCAGATTCGTGATCTCCTCAAACAAACATTTTGCAGGTGTGGTGAACTGTGGCCTGATAGACCTCGCAAATAGGACTCCAGATGACAGTGCAATGTCAACTTCCTGAGGCATGGAGCATTTTCGTACCAACCCAGGCAACCCACATACCTCGGCAGCAGCCTCGCATTGGGACTGTTCCACTCTGCAGTGTGTGACCCTGAAACTTCAATCACTGCCGTGCGAAATCGAAAATATAAACTTACGTGTTAAAAACGAATAAATGCATCAGCCGGGAGTCGAACCCGGAGCTAGGCCATATCTCTTATCTGAAGGTGCTGGATGGGAAGACCCAATGTTACCGCTACACCACTGATGCTCTACAGATTGTCTTTGTAGTAGCTCAGATGAGCCGACTAATTCGCCATACCGAACCTTGCACTGCGAGGGAATCAAATCGAATATCGATCGAATCAGTAGATTTTAGGCAATATTTTTTGATCTCTGATATCGGTCAGTTTTGCGCCAGGTTACGTAAGTTTAGGTTGGAAGATCCAAAAGAGTGACATGCTGATAACAAGATGTTACAGGGCAAGCACAGTGAACCTCTTCTAAGTATCCGAGGTTCAGGTGTCAATGGCCAGAGTTTCCTACCGTTGCGGAAGGCCTGGCGGGACCAGTCATCATTAGTTGAAAGTGGACATGAATCACAGGCACCCCCTCATAAAAGAGTTAGCTCAACGGTCAACCTACAGGAGCAGCACTTTGCTAAGATGTGTTTGCCGAAAGTGTCAGTGGAACAGCGAATATTGACCTTCCTGGGCAGCTTGGTCGTCTATGAGGAGAGGCCGAGGATGCCAGAGATACTTCGAAGTCAGCTTTTTGGACTAAATCCTGAACACTATGCCATATAGTTGTAGTACTGGCAGTCAATGGAATTCACACCCAGGGTTCAGCATCGAGAAGACATTGATCAACGGGAGATGTACACAATACGAAGAGCCAAAGTAAATCAGCTTGAAACAAAGGCAGATATTCTTGATTTCTCTGACAAGTCAGCCATCGTCTGACGTGGACCATCTGGTTCATTCCATGTTTGTGGTTGATTCAGGGAATCGTTCGCGGATGCATACATGTAAGGGCGATGTTGGCTGCACTCAAACCAGCTGCGGTTTTCCTCAAAGTTGGGGGCGTGCGTCCGTGAGGTATATTGGAACAGGTATCCACGACGACCAATCAGGAGATAAAATATAGCAGAAAATTGCGCCGGCCCACAGGCGACACCGCATTCGCGGTGCCTTGCAAGAGGACCGGTGCAAACACGCCCGCTGAAGAAACATGACATCAGAGGAGCACTGAAAAGGGAGAATGACACCACGCACCAATCCTCTTTGCCTTCGCCTCCGGGTTCGCCGCCGACTGGCATACAAAATGGAGGAACGCGGTAACAGATATCCACACCTGCGTTGTTCATAAGCAAGGCCATTTGACGAGAGTTTGCAAGCCGACCGACGTTCACAGCAGCCGGCGGGAACTCATCCAGCATCTCGAACGCTTCATCGCGGCTCGTCACCTCCACACACCGCGCGTGCAGAGCCGAGGGAACAATCGGCTCTGTGAGCGAGCCCAGCAGGCACAGAAGTGTTTCCCCGAAAGCAATCGGCCTGCTCTCGTCTTTCGCATCAGGTGAAAAGGGGAAATCCGCCCCGCTATCCAAACACTTGCGACGCCTTCATTAAATATGCGATCAACGGGGTAGAAGGAGCACACCTCGCGTATTGTATCAATTATGGCTTCGTCGGCCTCATCTGACACGAAAACATTGTGCTGTACCATCAGCACAGTCAGCTGTTGTAAAAAAAAAACAAAAGAGACGAGGTACTAACAAGGAGAATATCTGGACCCATCAGCCAGTTCACAAGGCGCATAATCTCGCGTGGCGCGTTGATCGCACGGTCCTCTGCAAGTAGATCGCCACTACCTAGTTCCCGTATGGGACCGGGAAGACGCGTGAGACGCGTAAGCGAATTCGCGAAGCACGTTGGCACTGCGTGAAAATTAGACTCGCGACGTGATCATGAGTGAAGCGCAATACGGACTGTACTCTGCCGTGACGGCAATAAAATGGTCTTTCCCCATGACCGTATGTAGGATAAGCGTGCACTCCAGCTCCTTGGGGCCCACATTCAGCCGCGCCGCAGCGCTGTTGTCAATTGACGCCGTCAGCGTCATGTACGCCAGCTCGTCCGGCAGGATAAGCGCCTACCAGCGCTCAATCATTTCCGAGTTGGTGTTGATTGGTTGAGACCTACCGTCATGGGCTCCACCTTCAACCAGTCGGGATCTACGGCCGAACAGCGCTCGTAGAGAGTCCAACAAATGCGCAGGGCGAGCACTCACGAGCAGCCCCCTCCCCATCAACCGGGACAAGCCTATATGCGCACGGGACCTACAACGTGAGTTCAACCAACCAACGACGAATTCAGTCCGCTTCCATAAAATCACCTTGCCAACATTTTTGATTCCCACCCGTCGACTCGCCGACTTCCCATACCTGCTCAAAGACATGAGCCCCTGAATGCGATCCCCGAAGGTCGACTCACGAGATGGACCCCATCCCCACCGCAGGGTCCATGATCTTCAGATTGATCCTCGCATTCGTGTCCTCGTGCGCGTCCTCCAGCCCCCGCAGCTGCGCGTAAAGGCGCCTCGCCGCCGCCTCCGCCGCCGCACACTCGAGCACGTCCATCTACATTCGCTGCTCAGCGTGAGTTGGATGAGACAGCAGAGGCTGACGAACTTCGACAACAAATTCCGCAGACACAGGCCGGTGGTCACTCATCGTGATCTGCGGGTATCCCTCATAGCTCAGCTGTTCGATGCGAGCAGCGTCGCTCGCGGCGTACAACACGCGGTCCGTCCATGCTGGCCGGCGTCTGCTCGTTATTGAGAAAAAAGAACAACAAAAAACAGGGACGGAGGATGAGGAGCAGAAAACATACTTCAAATCATAGCCCAAGTCATCTTGCAGCAGCCCCGCATTGAAACGATACGTCCTATCGCAAACAGCACACGTGAGCAAAAGCAAAAGGTGGCCATGGAAGGCCTGTGCACGTACGGCAGATGCGTGATGCGTCCTTCGTCAAACATGTCGAACGCCTTGCCCGCGCGCATCACAGTTTTCAGCTATGAACGCTCTCAGCTCAGGCCCGGCCCTAACGAGAGAGGTTGAAACTCAACGAACCTGATCATACGGCATCAGCGCCTCGAGCCGCGTCTCCCGCTCGTCCGCCAGCGCCTCCACGAGCACAACGCGGACATCCGCATCCGGCACGTCGATCCGGTAGTTCAAATCGCCCTGCAGTCGTGAGCGTCTTTCAGCACGCTGACCGCGCAGAAGGCCCGGCGTACATACCATCCAGAACACCGCATCGCTCTCGAACACCCCGCACGTCACCGCGACGGGCACGGTCTGCCCTTTCGCCGGCGGCGCGCCAGCCCCGGCGCCCGCATCGCTGAACGTGAACCGCAGCCTCCGCACCAGCTCATGGAAGTCCGCGTTCCGCCGCTCAACCATCTCATCGAACGCCGCGAGGTGCGCATTCACGAACGTCAGCACCGTCCCCGCGTTGGGCTGCGCGTCAGCCTTCTCGGTGGGCGGCGTGAACACCAGGCGCACGGCCGTCCCGCCTTTGTTGCCCTGCGCCCCGGTCCATAGTCAGAATATTATTCTTGAATCGCAGAGAAGCGCACCATGAGCCCCATGATCCCCGTCCCAGCCGCGCACGTCCGCACGTCCGTAAAGGCCGCGCGCATCGTTGTCTTCACGAGCACGAGCATGAGCATACCAACGAGCTGCTTCGAGGCGAGCTACGCGCGACGTCAGCGTCTGTTGCTCAAGAATAACAGCATGCATACCATCTCATACTCCCCGCCCCTCTCACCCAGCGCAGCAAACACCGCCTCAGCCCACGCGTCTGAGCGCGCCGTGCTCGAAGCGTACAGCAGCGCCTCCGCGGACAGGTCGAGCTCCTGGAAACCGAGCACGATGAGGTCCGGCGCGGCGTCGTCCGCTGGCGTGCCGGTCTCCGCGGGGAGCGCCGCCTTCTCTGCGGCGGACTCAAACGGGTCCTCGGGCACGGAGAACGGCGACACCTCCTTGAGCGGGGGGAGGACCGTCTCCCGTACGCGCTGCGAACTGCGCCCGAGCCACGACGCGAGGTCCTGCGAGGGCAGGTTCCCGTTCACGTTGAATGTTCCGGTGCGGATCCTGATAGCGGCCGTTTCAGCTACAGTTGCGAGGCAAGTGCGCGTCGCACCTCAGCTTCGCCGCGCCCGCTTTGCACGACTCGCGCACACGCGCGCGGATCCAGTGGTCGCGGATGCGCACCGCGTCCGCAAAATCGTCGCCCGCGTCCCCGCCCGCAAAGGCCGCGGAGAGGCGCGCGTGGAGCGGCGTGCGCGCGGTGCGGAGGTCCTCCGGGGTGAACACTGCGCCGCGCGTCAGCTCACTCCATGTGGGAGACAAAACACGCACGGGCGGGGAGGGGCGCGCGGCGCGCGGTGTATGGCGCGAGCCACGAGAAGGTTGTGAGCGACGGGGCCGCCTCGGGGGGCGCGTCTGTCCGTGCATGTCAGTTGAGCTGCCGGAGACATCAGGCAAACACACCCGCGAGGTCCTTGAGGCGTTTGCACTCGGCGAGCAGGACGCGCAGGCTCTCTGCGTGCAGCGTGCGGAGGATCAGCAGCTTCTGGCTCTCGAGCCCGCCGGTTATTGTGAGCATCAGCAGCCCTGGAGCGATATGAGCGATACGCTCTGTTCTGGTCATTATGGCGCACCCGGAGACGACTGCGCGGCAGACAGCTCGGAGGACACGGGTGGAACTTGCGCCACCGCAACGGAAAAATCGCCAAAGATCGGGAAGACACGCAGGATGTCTGCCTGGTCGAATGCGCCGGCAGGCTTGGCCTTTAGCACGAACACACTGCATCGCGGGCTGAGCATTCGCAAGCAGAAGGTTTCCGGCCACGCACCTCCCCTCCTCATGCGTGTCCAGAGACTCGCTGTGGGACACGACGACGAGGATCCGCTTGTTCCGACGGTCGTCAATCTGACTCGGCGAGTCCAATGGCTGGTCAGGGGCAGCGGGGTCGGTCGCCGCAGGGAGCGCGAGCGCCTCGAGGACTGCCTTTACCTCGTCCGACGGGCGCAGCAACGCTCGGATCGAGTTCTCCAAGGCGGCCATTGCGGAGAAGGAGTCGGGAGAAGGGTGCACTGAGGCTGTGTTGCGATTGTTGATCCGGTTCGGCAGTGATGCAACTTGAACGTTTGAACACAGACAATTGTAGCGGTGCATGTATCCAACCCCGTCGAACCAT